CCCCCCCCCCCCCCCCCCCCCCCGTAGCCGCCTGGAGCGTGTGCACGGGCTGCCTGCATTTTGCTAAACTCCCTTAGCCCTGGCCTTTCGCTGCCTATGGACATTATAGTATGGTTGGTTATTATTCAAGATAACTAATTGAGGTTGGAGCAGGTTGAGAAGACAGCCTACTGGCTTGCCCCAGGATTCACAGATTCATAGACATTAGGGCTGGAAGGGACCTTGGAAGATCATCGAGTCCAGCCCCCTGCACCAGGGGCAGGAAGTCAGCTGGGGTCACAGGATCCCAGCAAGATAAATGTCCTATTGACTCTTAAAGGAGTCCAGAGTAGGTGCGTGTACCACCTCTGGCGGCAGTCTGTTCCAGGCCTTGGGGGCTCGGACTAAAGAAGTTCTTCCTTATGTCCAGCCTGAAACGGTCTTGGAGAAGTTTGTGACCATTTGACCTTGTTATCCCATGGAGCGCTCTGGTGAACAGGCGTTCCCCCAGATCTGATGTACACCCCTTATATACTTATAAGCATTGTCTACACAGAGAAATTTACTAGCAGTATTATTCTAGTAAAATCAGAGCACTTTGGCTGCTCACAGACATGGAGAAAAAACAAAACAAAACAAAACAGCGCTTTACCAGAAGAGGCATTGCATTAGTTTGACCTGCCTCACTGTAGAGATCAGGTTGCTTCAGCAGGGCCCCCTGGTACTTTTATGTAATAGATGATTCTATCAGCCATTTGATAAAATTATTAAAGAGCTCCGCTGAAGCATCTAATCTATACAGACATTGGACAAACCAGGTCAAACTAATGCGATGCCTCTTCTGAGCATGCACTGCAGTTGGTGCAGGGGCGCACTGAGTTTAAAGCAGGGGTGGGCAAAATACAGCCTGCGAGCTGATCCAGCCTGCAGCAGGTCCTTTGGTCTTGTGTGGCCCAGGTGCCACCCAGCCATGGTGCATCCTGCCACCCCCTGGGCACACAGCGGGGTCGGGGCAGCTCTGTGGCTGGACTGCCTTTCTAGGCAGCCCAGGCAGCAGACACTCCAGCTGCCACTGGCCCCAGCCCCACAGCACCAGCAGGGACCCATGCGCGGAGCCCCAACCTGGTGCACCCCATGCCTGCTCCAGATCCGTCCATTCAGGCCTAGCAGTGGCAGCTGCCGGGGAGATGATGACTTGTGATTAACCTTACACACACGCTGATGTCCTTGGAAAAAGTAATAGCACATTTTATCCTAAATGATTCATCAGGACTAGATGCTGGCTAGCAGACTTGCCAGGGTTGCAGCTTGCTCCAGGATCACAGTTACTTATAGAATAAGTAACAAATTTATTTGTAATGGGTCTGTGGCTACCCACTAGCACCTAAATAATACTATCCAGTAATTTAAGCCCTGAATTTGTTGGGACAGATACAGGAAGACAGGGTTTTGTCTGACCTATCACTGATGAATGTCAGATTAGGGATTTTTGATGGCAGAATTATGTTCATATATTTCAAGGCAGTTAATCAGGATTTTATTGAATGCCTGTCTGTTCTAAAATAGGAAAAAAAAAACAGAATTTTATTTTATTAATCACATGACAATACTTCTGTTTGTTTAGGCTTATGTTCTTCTTTTTAAAGGTGGGACAGAAATTGTCACAGAGAGTGACTTTCACAATGGACATTCTGTAGCTGGAGTAATCGAGCAGGGAGGTGTTGGTAGAATGCAACGAGAGAAGATGGTTTACATGGCTGTAAAGGACTCTTCTCAGGAAGATGAAGATATTAGTAAGAATAATAAGAAATTTTACAAGAAATGAAAGCTGTGCATCTAATTTAGGTCATTTCTAAAAAGATATTTTTTGTGTTTGTGAATTATTATTTCACCTTTAAAGTAATAAAAATGATAAATTGTCTTGTATACCAGAAAATCAGGCTATCTAACTATAAAGAAGTAGAGTCATATAAAATGTACTGTGTGCCAGTTATACAGAATCATTATTTTATTGCGTTTAATGTGTTCATGGCTGAAATCAATGGATAAATCACTGAGGTTTTTTATTTTTTTACAACTTTCTCATTTTTGAATTTGTGTAATGCTCTGTTTAACCAGTCTTATTTAAAGTGCTAGCACTATTTCAGAGCAATTTTCAAATTTTATTAAGACCAGAGGCACTTGTTCTGCCACACTAGCAAGTCAGCAAATATATATATATGTGTGTATATGTGTGTGTGTATATATATATGTATGTTGTTGTTTTTTTTAATTAACTTTTGTTGGAGAATTTTTCCTTTCTAAAAACTAGCAAGGCATATAAATGAAGTAATGTAACAATCCTGGATAAATTGTTGGAGGGGGCAGTAAATACCAAGATAGAAAGGAAGGAAATTTTTAGTTTAAGTTGCTAATAATCGTAATAACGGGATTAATTTAAGTGAGGGACAATTTAGGCTGATTATAAATTAAAATTAATTAAATAATATTTTTTCCTTAAATCCAGGCTGTGCTGAAATAGCAGATGAAGTGTATATGGAGGTTATTGTAGGTGAAGAGGAAGCAACATCACTTCCTGACACACAGCTTGAAGAGTCTGGTGTGAATAAAACCTTTGTTCCTGTTGCTTGGGCTGCTGCTTATGGTAGGGTACTAGATGAATTTTGTGGGAATTCTTTGCTATTTTTTCCCTTAATTTTGTCCCAAACCCTTTTTGAAATCAGTTTAACTTGTGTATACATTCAGTTCATTGGAGGGCTGTAATTAGCTGTCTTACAGGACATGAGTTATTTTATAAAAGAGTCAAGACAGTGAAATTGTTCACTAGAGAACTCCTGTGTTAGAGGCTATCTACTTTTTACAAAGAATACCCTCAGTTCCTCTCAGTACAGGCATGCAGGGAAATGCTGGTCCTGAACTCAAACTAACATTTTTGTTACTCTTTTTAATCCTAAAAAATGGGTTTGGGTTTTTTTTTTTAATATTCAGTTTTATGAATGGAAAACTTAATTATTTATAAGAGGAGCCCAGCATTTAGCTTTCCATACATGTGAGAAATCAGATGTTAAGGGTTGTGGAAGCTTGCGGAAGTTAGAAAGAATTAGTTAAAAATACACATCTGTCTGGTGAAAAGTTCACACCAGTTTTATCACAGTTGTATTGAAAGAGGACACGGTGAGTCTGAGGGATAGGCATATAGACATATTCTCAATAGTCTTAAATAACACAGAGCTTTCATTCTCCCTGGTCTTTTTAAGTAAATCATGATTTTAAAAATATTTGTATTATTAAACTGATCCTCATCTTTTTCTGCAACAGGAGTTAAAGTAGAAATCCTGTAAGGAAGTTTTTACTCATGTAAACTCTGTATGTTGTTATTAAATATTTTCTATACTGTGGGATTTTGGCTTGTATCTACACTATACATAACAGAATGTATTCTCAGTTAATCTCTGAGTTATATTATAAATGAGAGTATCCTATATTGATGTATTTGAACCTTAGAGCACTCTGGACCACAAGAAAAACATTTTAAGTCCAAAACAAGAATATGTGTAACAAACAGACCCTCCTTAGGCATGCCATGGAACTTCATATTGCTTTATTTAAGCAAGCACTGAAGTATCAAGAAACATGATAAATAAGTAAGTTTGAACTTTCATGTGCACCTAGTTCTTGTACAGAAAAATTATATATTTGGGCCTGCACCCATGCAAGAAAGAAATTGGGTTTGAAGTATTCAATACTAAGGGTTGTATACCATAATCTGTACATGAAAGCAGGTCTGTGAATGCTCAGCATATAGTTATTGTATAGTTTAACATCCTTGTCAAAGGAGTTCAGGATGGAGAACTCTGCAATAAATAAAATTATTACTTTGCATCATTTTCCACAGAAATATCTTTCTTAGTACATACATTTTCCATTACATTGGATTAATTAGAATAGTTGTGTCTGGGTCAGACCTATTCATTATCCATTCTGTTATTTCTGACAGCCAGGAGTGTAAGGGTGGGGGGGTTGGCTTAACCCATGTTCACTTCTTTTATATTTTTCCACATGAGAGAGACAGAAACCTCTTGTCTACATTCCTTACTCCAAATGAGTTAGCTAATGAACTTCTATAGTTAGGGTTAGATTTTGTTAATAGCATTAGTACATTTTTTAGTCTGGTTCTGGGCAGAGGTTTGTGTCAATAGGTTTTACTGTTCCAGTGTTTATCTACTCCCATTTGTACAAGAATTAAAAATGTATAGTATTGAATCAAGAGGATTTAAGATGTGTTCCTCTCATGTGCAGGATGGATAAAAATCAACTCTTTTAAAAAAAATTGGATTTTTTAATTTAAATCATTTTTTTTAATTTAATCATTAAAAAATATTGTTAGGATGTGTTTTTAAAAAATAAACCTGTATAAAGATAGTTTTAATTTAAGATATATGTTAAAGCAATATATTCATGTAACTTTTTTTTAAAGGTTTTATAAATAGGTCACAATAGGCCATGGACTGTATTAGGGGCCCAATTTTATGGGGTTCTCAGAGACTCCTCTGTAGATTAATAAAGATTAAAGAAAACCACTGTACCCAATGGGATTTGGTGTTCAGTCTAGAAGATCCCATTAAACATATCTGTGATGCTTAATTTCAGTTCTCAAACTGTGGATTTGTGTCTCCAGAAATAACATCCTTGTTTACAGCAGTATATGGAGATGAGAGATAACAGCTGATTACCTACCCATCAGCCTTTTTATCTTTCTGCAAGTTTGTATACACAGAGCCAATCCCTTACCTCTCTCAAAGTGCAGAGTTTCAAGAAGCTAAATGAATAAAGGATATCAAGCAACAAGAATGCTCTTTTTGTAGAAAACAGTGATTTAAATCAAAGCTTCCTAACCAATGAATCAAATCCACCCTGCTTATGTGGCAAAGTTTGAAAATGATAGGGATGTCTGTTATCTTGGATATGGTCATACTCAGATCCTTTGAAAATCTCAAGGAACCAGGTCAGCCACAAGCATTGAGTTCCCCCATTGTAAATTAAGATGCTACCCCCAAGTTTCCAGGCAACCTCAGGAGAATTAATCTAAGGGCTAAAATAGACATGGAAATTAATCCTGCCCTGTTCTCCTAACTGGGGATGGAAAGCTTCCCCTAAGACTTCCTTATCTGAAAATCTGAAAGTGGAGTCTCTGTCCAGTAAACCTACATCACAGGACAAACTAGCACTAGTGATTTCTCTTTATACCAAGGAGCATGCTGTTCCTGGATTATGGTAGGATGCTCATTACAGCACTGAAGCTTCCAACATATGAGTACGTTGGTACTGCCATCCTCAGTATCAGGCACTCCAGCACAAAGTAGCTCTGTGTTGGGAGCTATCACTTTGGCTCTAACCACTTCCTTGGTACTGACCCAGTATCTAATTCAAAAGCTTTCTGCAGTGACACTTTGAAAGATATCAAGAAGTGCCAATCAGGTCAGTTCTAGACCAATTTAGAGGGAGCACAAGAGTTATCTTCAAACAGTTGCTGGAAATAATTCCATAACAGCATACCAGACAATACTGCATTTTGGCTAAAAGAAAGGCATTCTTTTTCCTCCTCAAATGAGGAGTTGAACAGACCATCTTCCCTCAAACTCTCACCCTTTCTTCTCTGTGGAAAGGTCAGTAGAAGCCTTGGAAAGCTCCTGAGGAATACCATAAGATCATTGGGGCCCTATATAAGTCTCCCCATCAGGTATTTACCCATGTGCTGCTCCTGCTTCACAACCATTATTAACCAGAGATTTTATAGGTCCCTCTGTAGACTGAATACTTGTGCTGCCAAACCCAGATCTTTGAATGGATCTATATCCAGATCCTCCTGAGAATAACTTCATTTCACTGCAGCTTATAGAATATGAGGTGGAATATAGTGGTGACAGACACACATGCACCTGATCCACAACCTTGACTCCTTCCCAGCATCTTGCTGCCAGTACCAAGAGACATCCTTTGGCCACTCCTTTGCCCCAAGCATGATTGTTGATGTTCTGACAATTATGGTTACCTTCCTACCTACTTACCATGTCTTGGATATTGGCTGATATTCATAGAATTTGCCCAGAGTGTCTGATTCCTTTAAAAAAACCACAACTTCGCAATTCTGGTACTTGTTTAAGTAAAAACAAAAATGCACATGGATTTGTTTTGGGTTCATTGGTGCAATCGTATTTGAGGTGGAAAGGACATACCTAGTTTAGCAGTGGTTCCATAGTTAATGGATCTCTTAAGACTACTGCAATTTCAGTTTGACAAACCGTTGTGGTCTTACCTTGGTCTTGTGCAGTAGATGGTAGCAAGCTCTTGGCCTTTGCAAGAGCAGTGTCAGGAGCAGTGTATCTGCCCAGGAGGCACAGCAAAGATTGCTTGACTGCGATTCCTCAAAAAGTTCTATAGTTGTTAAATTGGCAGGTAGATCTTACTCAGGTAAGCAGTGGAATGCCTGTCTCAGTGTTGACTAGCCAGTTAGGTTCCCTTCATGACTCTCTGCACTCTTATATATGTGAAGTCAGTCTTTGTAGGAGTTATAGCATAAGCTAGGAGGAATAGTGGAGAAATGGGCCCTCATAGAAGGCCCCAAACAAAACTGTATTTCATAAGGATAGAGTATTTCGTGTGTTAGACTGTGTATGAGGTTGTGTGCTCTAATTAATGTGTATTTTGGGATTAAACAAAAGAAAGCCTGTATATTTTTCCCCCAGACTATCCATTCACTACCTGAACTCAGTGTTTCTCAGGGTCCTCTATGCTTCTCATAGCAGCATTGGCAAGACCTTGTCTGTTTTACTGTAGCAAATTATAATTACTGTGCCATTACTGTCTTGTTTGTTAAAGGCCAATGATGAAAAGCTTGATTTGTGTTTATCTGACTAATCTTGTAGGGAA